GACTTCAGCTCCCAGAATTCCTCAGCCAGCATGCTGGCTGAGGAATTCTGGGAGTTGAAGTCCATCTTTCTTAAAGTTGAGAAGGTTGAGAAACACTGGTATGGAGGGTTCTGCCTCCATGGGGTGAATTACTTCCTTTTGAGAAAGAGCAGCAAAGAATCTGGCATGGATGCAATGCTCAATGGTGCTGTCTTTGATTTTAGCAGAAAACAGTGCTCCTGCAGGCCAAATTCTCCTCTGGTTGGTCTGATATGATAAAAGTTGCATTTTCTCAGGACAACACTACCCTGCACTACTGGGAACAATAAGGCAGCAGCTGTCTCCTCCTTAGCCCAATTTTTCTTCTCCAATAGTTTTGGGTTTCTGATTTAGTGGGTCATTGTCCATTGTATCAAGGACCATGCTGACTGTACCTTCTAGAAATTGAAGATCCAACATAGCCAGAAGGTGTCATGTTGGTGTCACACTTTCCCTTATTTCCTGCTTGATTGTGCATCAACGTAGCATCCGAGGCTAGGAATAGCTTGAGTAGCCTCAGCTGCAAATATAGGTTAGAAGTGGGGGGACATAGGGAACTGTCTTTTATCACCTATGCAAGCAGCTACAAACGACCTGATTTGCTTCTGCTGGAACTATTGTGAGGCAAGCCACCAGACCTCCGTGTCAGCTTTCTGGAAGAGCTGTGGAGAAGACAGATGGTATCAATTTCTTCCCTGTGCTGGCACTCAACTTGTATGACTGGAACTTGGCAGTGTCACAATTCTTGAAGGATGTTTTAACTTATCATAACACTACTGTCAGGTGAACTGGCCAGGATCCACATTTCAAGAATGGCCAGCCATTCTTTCATATCTGCATTTTCTGAGAAAACCCATTAAAGGAGGAAAGGGATCTTAGGATAGGGAGTTCCAGCTGTGCCAGCTGGGAATTAGGAAAATGGGAATCTGGAGGACATCTGCTTAGGAAGTGCCAATGAAAGTTGCTTGCTTCGCAACAGAAGTCCTATGGAAGTGTGTCCATAACAGAAGAGGTCCCCTGATCATCTGGATTTTGGCACAAGGAGCAGTTTCCCAGAGCCACCTTTTTGTGTGCTTACCATTACTCAGCTTTTTCCCAAGACCTTCTTTTTCTGGACCCTGGCAATCACTGAGACAGTTTCCGAGAATTTATATGTATGTTCACGGAGCAATGACAAGCCCTGTTGATTTTGCTGATACTCAGGCACAGGCCAGGTCTGGCTGCTGACCTCTCTGCTTGGAGATGAGTTAGTCTTCATGTTACACTGTTCAGGGCAGACAAGCTTGTTTGCAGGAACGGAAAGTGACATTGTAAATAAAGAGAAGAATGGTGTTCTAGCAGGACAGAGAGGAATTGGAAATTCTGATCTTTGCCGGGCTTACTTTAAGTATATCCTTTCTGCTCGATGAAGTTTTTTGGAGGAAAGGAGTTTCTATCTGTTTGGAGTACTGTTGAGTGCCAAATTAAGCTGTTTTATCAGAAAAGCAGCACCTGCAGAGAATCCACTGACATGGATTGTTAACCAATTAAATACCTGGATTTGCTCCATGCTTTCTCCATTTATTCTACACAGTGTAGCAATAACCATGATTAAAATGACTTTGAAAGGGGTTTGGATGAAAGGA